AATCATTGCTAATTTCTCGCAATTATCACTTGGGAAAAATTACGAAGATGAAAATGCATGAGTAACTATGATAGCAGCGTATAAAAATTTGACCAAAAAATTCGAGATGACGTCTTTCGTTCGTAAAACCTCGAAACATTCGATTTGCCACCCGCATGTTCACATGATAAAAATAACAAATGAGAAACAAAACAGTATGAATATTGATACTTGAATCTTAAAGCAAATCAAAAACGCAACAACGTTTTTATCGCTTTGTTATTTATTTAATTTGCAATAATTCCAAATCGCGTGTATGCATTTTGGAAGCACAAAAAGTTATTTCGCTACCACTTGCACCCGTTCATGACCCCCTCAATTGCTCCAACGAATTCCGACTCCCTTTCGCAGTTTCTTTTCCTGGAACGTCGGTAATTATTTAACCGGGATTTTTGTGCCGCTCGAACGACGCGTCCGCGTTTGCAAAGCTCTCTTGAATACCTGACCCGGCCGGAGTGGCTTCAGTTAATTAATCGGTCTACGGTGCCTCTGAATAATTAACAAAATTACGACACCCCCTCCATCAGAACTATTCGTTGTACCTGCCCCTTCTCCCTTCTCCGCCCGGTGTTCCTTCACTATGTTTCACGAACGCCCCCCTACCGTTCCACTTTCGTCAAGCAACCCCTTCCTCCCTTACCTTCTCTTCCTCAGGAGTTTATCGCGGAGCGTTTTCTAAGTTTCCAGGCCCTGTTTCGCCGCCGCTCCTTACAAAGCCGCTTTAATGGACCTTTCCATCGTCGTCGAGTCTCCGCTATTGTCTCGCGGCTCGCGGATTATACGGTTTACTTTCAATGCATCCCCTTCTCTTCTTGACGCTGCGCCCTTCCAATTAAAATGCGCGACCGCTCACAGGCATTGCATTGAAGAACATAACGATTGCAGCAATGTGATTTGTTTAGGCAAACCAGCGTTGACGTAAATGTTTACTTTAAATAGACCGATATTTTGTTAACCAAAAATCAATTTCGAATATATTGCAAAATTGGCATAGAGATTACGATCAATATACGCATTATTATTAAAAGATGCGGTTGTATCTCGATTCAAGTATATGCATGACAGTGATGACAGTCATTACTGTTATGCCGGTTTGTCATTACTAATGACAAACCGGCATATTCGAAAACTTTTATACACCATGTATTTTTTATGTACATTTTTTTTAGTAAAATTGTTTCTAGAAGTTATTTTATATCCACGCAATATATATATATATATATATGTATATTGTCTCTTGATAATATCTCGTGATTATCAATAACATGTGTATTAGTATGTTATTTGTTGCAAACCGAATTGCATTTTGTTTCTTGTGATTTTCTACATCTTTATATAAAATTTACCTATATAATGATGAGTGAAACACACGCAAATCCAAATGCGAAATACAATCCGATTGACAACAAATGAGATATTAATACGTGCTAATTAACTATTAAATATTTCATAATGTCTAAATATAGAGGTGTATGAAATTAGTTTGCTTTAATCTCAAATCAGTATATATAATGAGATTAAACTTAATCCTAGTATAATACATATACATATACGCATCTAATTTAAACTTATTTTTTCAGTCTTCATATTTTTACGTTCTTGTTTTCCATTTATTCACAAAAGATAAGTAATGAAAAAGTAGAATTGTGTGTGACGTCGCTTTTTCATTTATTAAAATAAATTTAAACGAGGCTTAATTTTTCAGCGTACACTGTCGCAATTAAATTGCACATGTTCGTTCTTCTTTTATTGTACAAGAACAATGTTTGCTATCCGGGAGTGCGACAGCGGATCTATTTTTTCTACATACTGGTGGCCTCGTTAAAAATTAATTGAATGCTGAATGGGTAAATCGATTGGAATTAATTTCGGTCCGGCTCGTTAAATATCGTGCGGCTCTTCTGGCACCGCTATATCGGCATTGGGACGCAGCCGTGAATTACGCAACGTTGCACGGAGAATGACGTTAGCAATAAGGTACTGTTGAACATTAATTTACCGTGCGATATCGTCGAACGAGAAATATCGGCTCTGCGTCGCTAGGCTGCCAGTTCTTGTATCACCATACGGGTATAATTCATACTTGCTCGCATGACGATTAATCAACCATATTATTCATAGCGGGCATTGTATTAATAATAATTGGTCGCCGCGCCATCAGTTTGATAGAACAACGCGTGATAATTTGTTCAGGTTATTCACTAATCCAATGAATTCTATTTTGTATGCGTACAGCTAGTTTGATCGGAGTTGTACGCACTATTTTGGATCATGTCAAAAATTTTTTCGGATTTAGTAGAAAATATTCACTTTCAGATATAAATATACTCATATCTTTCTGCATGTCTGCATATTTTTGTGATAATTTATATAATCAGTTTTTGACAGTTGACAAAACCATTCGAAGATTTAAGTTTTGCGACAAAGATAATTATATTTTAATATATTTATTTATATTAAAAGAATTTTAAATTATATGTAGCAAACTTATTATTCATCGCTGTATTACTGAAATGTGTAAAAAGATTAAAAAGCAAATCATAACGAATTTTATTCTGTAATCTTTCTTTCACGATAGAGACGATAACGAAAAATCATCAAGAATCTAATCACCATAAATTTAACGCAGTGAGTGTTAGGTATTATCGACGCACGTCAAAAATCGTCTTGTTTTTGTATAAGAGTTACAGAAGGAAAGCGGAGAAAAAAAAAGAGAAAGCTAGAAGGCAAAGGAGAGAAGGGTTAAATAAAATGTGACATAAATAGACAGTCGCCTTCATTTTCATACTCCCTTGCCTCGCGTCTTATTCCAGCATTTTCCGTGCGTTTTGCATGGCTGCTAGCAATTACTGAGTGGTCTGTAATCTACACGCAATCATGGTTTACAACGCCAAAGCTCGGCGCTGAATTCTCTCTACGGTCTCTCGCTACCCCCGAACGGCCTCTATATCTCGCCCTCTCCATCCCGTTCCTCTGTAATCTGTCCAGTAACCGAAAGGGATACGCAATATCTGCACGTTTTGTTGCTCACCACCCAGCTATAGGTCTGCTCTCGCCCGTTTAATTATATCTACACGAAAGGTGTCCCGCATATATCACCACGGCTGCGTAGTAAACTCATCTGCTACGCAGTAATAGTGATTGTTATCCGTTTAATGCCCGGCATAATCATTTGTACTTATTATTGCATTTGTTCGCTTTGGCAAAGCGTTGTCCAAAGATAGGTGTCGTAAGATTTTCAATGATACACAATAATTGTTTTGCTGATAACATGATACATATAGAAAATAGAATATTTAATTTCATTATAGTTGGAAAAATATATTATAACATATATGTATGTGTGAAAACAGGATAGTTATTGTTCCATTTATATACACATGCTAAATATAAAATTAATCTTGTAGAATTTAATTTCGATATTCTCATTTATTATCATTATTTATTTTACGCTAGAGATTATTTTGAAATATTTTTTTTTCAATGCTAATCTTAAATTCGGATGATTATATTTAATCGGTTATTTGATAATCTCATATTGAAATAAGATTTATAATATTTTTATCGTGTCTATGTACGTATGTTTATGTACTTCTCAGTCTCTGTTTATTTATCTGTTTTTCTCTGTCTGTCTGTCTGTCTGTCTGTCTCTCTCCCTCTCTCTCTCTCTCTCTTTTCACCGTTATTGTATGTATTTTATTAGGAACAATTTGTACTTATTGATTAATTAGTAGCAATACGTCCTAAAAAAAAAAATTATGAAAACATTGCTTGCTGTGAAAGATTTGTTTGTTTTTATTTAAACTTTACGCTTGATATACTAACATGATAAAAATCGTATGCGGATGCGCACAGTTGCATCTCTATCTGCTATATGTATAACAGAGGAACGCTTCTGCGATGTCGCTTAAATTTTACAGTGACATTTATGTTGACCATAATTTTTGTATATGCATTTTAAATTCTTTTCTGTTCGCAAAATGTTTTTTCGTGCATGTTTTTTCCGTGGACAATTGTGAATTTTTGAAAAGATTGATCGTTAACATTGCGAGTAAAATAAAGTCGAATAAATCTCACAATAATAATAGATTTGAATAATCATTGACAGTATTCGATATGTAGATATAATTAACAATATTTGAAACATATTCATAATTATTATAATAATTACAAAAAAAATCTTTATAATTATTACAACGAGAATTATTTTAAATTTTGGAATTAATTTTTCTTTAATAGGTATCTGATATAAATTTTCTCTAACATGTCAAACACTTAAACGTCTCAAACACTACTCGACTAAAACTCTAATAAAAATACTATTAAAGTCACAAAATTTGGAGTAAAACCGAAATGTAGTAAAATATTTTTGATGAAGTCAGATGGAACACTTTATACATAAATAATCTCTGAGATAATAATTAGATATCACAATCTTTAGTGGATTTAACAAGATTCGGATTTAACGAGATTTAATATGCGCGTATCCCATTAAAAGTTGTCAAGAAATTGTAAGTTTCCGATCGACCGTTGAAATTAAAGCTTACTTTGTAAAGGACTTAGTCTTTATAGTCTATGTACTCTATTAATGAAGAGATGCCTCTTTTAAGAATTTGTTGCGAAATTATAAGCAAAATTAAGAACATGATATTTTGTATTTTATACTTATATCATACACAAACACACTTTTTCTTTTTTTACTATTCACTCTATTTTTGCATATATAACTTTAATCTAATATAACATATATTACTTACGAACAGAGACAATGCGCGGCACTGAGTATAAATCTGGAATTCAGGATGGCACCCCCACAAAAATGTCCACCCTTTCTGGTTATGCTCACGAGCCAAGGAAATTCACCTTGCGCTGCATTTTGACCTCCGACAATTCTGGCCTCTCGTATCCCGCTTATACCGCATGGAACATCTGCCACTAGTATCAAATACGGATTTCCTCGTTAATGCTTGATAACGATTAATTGCCTCGGCGATCTCGTTGCAAGGTCTGGCGCGATATATAAAGCTATCAATGTCGCATCGATCGATAGCGACATGATCTTAGGTGTTGATTTCTTTTTCTTTTTATTGCGCGAACGAGACAAAGATGAGTATCGACACATTGAAAGTGTCCAGAGAGTCGCCAAATTGGATGATGATACTTTTAATGTTTTATCTTGTCAGTGGGTGTCGCTCTCTTTCTAACTTATTATAAAAATTATCTTATTATAAATTTTTACAAGATTAAGAATCCTCCTCATAATAATATCTGTACTTTCATCTTTTGTATATTTTTATGCAAGAGTTGGGGTGATTACGATAACTGTGGCCCCCTATTTGAAAGGTCGTTTCTGAAGACATTTTTGACGAGGAACACGGGGAAAATAGTAAAAAAAATTTCCGACCAATAGTTTTCGAGATATATCACTTTAAAGTATTGGACATGATAATAAAACTTTATAAAAACGGACCCAACGATGTTGATCAGGATCATGATCTTGACAACATATATCAAGATCAACATCGTTGGGTCCGTTTTTATAAAGTTTTATTATCATGTCCAATACTTTAAAGTGATATATCTCGAAAACTATTGGTCGGAAATTTTTTTTACTATTTTTCCCGTGTTCCTCGTCAAAAATGTCTTCAGAAACGACCTTTCAAATAGGGGCCACAGTTATCGTAATCGTGCCCAAGAGTTTACTGCCATCCACGAATTCTTCTATTACAAATGTATGAAAAAGATTCTATATTTCATGGCTACTATCTTACGCGTAGTTTCTTTATTATTTTATACTTTATTTTTTTTATTCTATATCTTACCGACGAGGATAAACTGTCTGTAGGTTTATGAGAGAAATTTCGAAAACTAGTGGAATCGCATTTGCTATTGGATGCTGATAATATCGTCACATTATGTTTTGATTATTCCAAACCGTACGGAGTTACCATTTGTACTCTTGTTGATGAGAACATATTGACAGCTTATTGATTGTTTCTAGCATTCAATGATTAATGTTCGTGATATGGCCTCAATGGATAGAGCGACTTCCGCGTATAATAGAAATCTTGATAGACGATTAAATGACATTGTGATCAATTTTAAGGATGGGTATAATAGATTTTAATGGCGTAAAATTTGCTGATAGTAAATTAACTTGATGATGAAATTTCATGGAAGGTATATCTAATTTGTTTTTCAATCCGTTTTGCTTACACCTGATTTGTTGTTGTCATCAAAATATTTCATTAAAAATTGTAGAATAAGGAAAGCTGCATCAATATATTAAGATTAAAGAAATTCAAAGAAACATCAACTAAGTAAATACACATTTAATATCTATTAAAAAGAAAAAATATAACTATTTCATTTTAAGATGTAAATGAATATTACGATTAATGCGATAGATGCAGTCAAAATGCAATGAAAATAAATTCGGTTGCAATCGACGATTATGAACTGTTATCATTACCGCGGGCAATAATCATAAATTGTTATCATTATTAATTCGTATGCACCAATTAATTAGTATGCACAATTAATTTGTATCAATTACTCCAAATCGTAATTGACTCGGCCATTGTAGAAGGAACGTAGAAGTCTTTATTATAGCGTTTATCATAAAATTTTTGCCTCATACGAATTGTTATATATAAAATTCAATGCAATTTTTGGATTATTATTAGTTATAAATTAGTTTTAATAACTGCTATATATATATATATATATATCTCTTATATATATATATATATATATACAAATATGTTTCCATAAAAAATACTTTCCCCCAAAAAATATCTCTGATTTGCTGATGGAAAAATTGAGAGATTTGTACATCTATAACCGATTCAATCGTATTCTTGCAAAGGAAACAAACAATTGGCTCGATTAGTATTTGAAGTATATTCGACGAGAAGCATCCTTTTGATAATAATGTATTACTAATCTCTTCTCATTTTTTTTGAATGAACTTGTAGAAATCAGTAAAATTACGTTCTTAAAATCTCGATGCGGTGCGACGGCGTCTGTTAACGGCGTTGCGTTTAATTGAAACCCGAATCTGCGTTACCGGAATGTTAACCGATTCAAATGAATCCTCTCTGGTGGCGGTACGGCGTTGGCGTCGCGCGAATTTAATGCCCCGAGCAGATAGGGACAGATACGGTGGATCTGTCACTACAATCCCTGCGACGCCCCTGCTCTGCGTCCCCGATTCCCTCTTCTCTCCTGCCCTTCTCCCTCTTAAACCACCCTCCCCTCCGAATCAACCCTCTCCCCTCTCGTTTCACGCCCCGACTGATTAATTGGACCTCTACGCCGGCACCACCGCGTTTCCCATCCCCGTCGCTCTTCCACAACGGACGAGGAAAGGACGTCGAAGCGGCCAGGATGGAGAGAGGGCGAAGCGGGTGGCATAGAATTCGAAGTCGCCTCTATTCCGAAACGCGTAATAGATATGTCAAAACCAGTCCGGGGACGCGATCATGATAATACGAGCCGATGCCTCGGTTTGGTGGCCGGGTTGAACGCGGAGCCGCCCCGTTTATCCTTTCTGGCCGGAGCGAATTGTGCTCAGGGAGCGTCGAAAAAAGACCTCTCTCTTTTCGCGTGTTTTCGGGAAAATCTGACCGTGGCTGTAAATCCGGCGGTATCTTGGCAGCCAAAGTCACAGTGCGCTTATATTTTATTGGCAATCTGGTTTCTATGCGCGAGAAACATTGCCATGTTGGTTGATCGCTTTTATAACTAATAGGGATGATTGATAGAGGAAAATTTGAATGGTATACTATTTTTCTTAATTTCACAAATCTCTCTCCTAACGACTTTGTGTTTGTAATATTCTTCTTCTATCTCTCTTATATATCTTAGATACGAATAAGATTAAATTCTACTCGATATTAATTCTCTGTCAAAGATAAGATAAATCTGGAGGCAAACATGGACATCTGTCGAAACAATTTCATGCTTAACATCTCATCAGAAAAATTAATCGAGATGAAAGTTACTATATTTGAAGACTATTCTCTAATTATATCAAGTTTTTCTTTGTGTCAATTTGAATTGTTAGAAATCCAAAATTTGCACCGTAATGCATGTAACATTGTTAAATGTATTACAAGCAAAGTTTTCTAATTTTACTATTCCGAATTAAAAACAACGTAATTATATTTCACTAATAATTCGATATCTATCCAATAAATTTGATATTTTTTCTATACTCATAACATACAAGTTTACTGATAAACATATGTAATATCCAAAATTTATTATTTTCACGATATTCGGCAATTTATAGAACAGAAAAATAGGAAACAAAATAAAAACTTGAGACAATTGTAAATCTTTTCAGAAAAATTAAATAAATTTTGCACATATGCTAGAGACTCTCCATAATTTTTATATTGATATCACTGAAACACACGAGTAATAAATATTCCAATCTTTTTCTATTCGATAAGTCGTAGATTTACTGATATTAAAAGTTTACGGAGCCTTCTGACCTCGTGCGGGTTAAAAACCTTCCTGATACCGTTCGTCACGATTTTGACATTGAAACAATCGCTTGCAAAGTATGGAGAATTACTGAGCTACGCCAAGGTCGTGTACTTGCCAACTTTCGGCCTTCAGTAAGACTATTCACATCTATTCTTCTATTCTGTACGCACCTACCTTTCGCCTACGTAAGAGCGGGTCTCAATATTCCGAAAACGCGACTGACTCTTTTCAAATAATTCTTCAACTACCCGCACTTATTGTTTAAGCAAGTTTATTTCCTCAGTTTCAAGCTCATTGTGAGTTGCGCATTGCCATAAAAAGTACCATTATTTCTTTTTATGGTAAATTCCATTTTTTTTTCGATTTTCAATACGTTTATATAACGGCCGTATATGCAAGCGATCGTAACAGGCGAAGTAACAGTAACGTAATACACACGGTAACATAATTTGTTTATCGAACGAAATAACGGTAGCGACCCGCGAGTCGAATAGTTCATGTGAGGAATATTTTTCCATGTAATACTGATTATCTTTTATTTATAAATCGTTGGATTTACAAAACGAGTCATCCGTTTCTGAATTTTCGGGAAAATATTTTAATAATATTCAGGATATATATTTGCGTAAATAAATAACACGCGCGGAATTCCGGGCATAGAATTTCAAACAATAATATAATTTGTTTAATGGGCGCCAGATGCTGATTACGATCTGTCGAGTGATAATAATTATCAAAATTTTATTCAGTAAGCGACAATATGAAAGATTAATTATTTTAAATGTTGTACCACTCCCCTCCCCTGCCTCATAACCTCGCGGTTGATTACTCAGTCACGAAGCGTAAAATTAATGCCCATAACGATCAGTGTAATTGTTCAGTGAAGGAATAGTTGGTAGGCAGCTGTCGATGTGATGAATAAACCACGTTGCTTCGCTTTCACATAATATAGTGCTTAAATATTTGATGGAAATGACCGTTTTATTGCCGGTAAAACAAATAATTAGCTTTATTAAATTCACCCAGTCGACACTCTGTCTGATATTTCGCATCAAAGAGTGAATTGTAAACGAGATAATGACACTCTATACAATCTACATTATGCACCAGGACGTGTTATTCAAATAATCTATCAACGTGCTGTCCCTGGCACGAGGGCTTTTTAGGACGTAAATCAACATGGGAGACAGTTTTTTGCGGCTCGTTAATTCAATCATTTTTTCCAAGCGCATGCATTTTATTCCGATCGTTCGGCCGGTTGGCCGATGAATTCTGACGCGCGGAATGAAATATTTACCCGTTCTTGTATCTATCTGTTTGAATAAGTGGAAATTTCATCGATATTAAAAGACATGTTATAACTGATGCCAAAACTATATTGAAAAATATATTTCATATATAAAAGATTATCTTTAAAAGGAAGTATCGTTAAAGGAATTATTTTTAAAATTTATCTGCTTGTTAGTAATTCTGATCCATACGAACATATAAAATTTTTTCTCTAATAGTCTGAAAGTATTTACTTTGTCACGATAGAATGCATGGGAAATCAAACTAAATTTAAAATTTATCAAAATATACGATTTATATAAATAAGTAATAAAAGATATATAATGTATCTACAGCCAATTAAAATATTGTATGAATAAGATAAACAAGTTCTATTAACCATAGTAGATCAATAGATGTAGCATTCTTGGCATATATACTAGTGTTTAGCCGCTTAATTGTCGTCTGATGTATCAAATATTTAAACTCTAATAAAAGCGTAACATTGCAAAATATTTCCTCGGATGTTATCTTATTAATTAAAGATAAATAGTGAGAGAGAGAGAGTTTCACACTTTGTTTGACCAAACTATAATTTATCAATGTAATTGATATTATATTATTAGTGATACCGCAATATATTAACCGAGGAAAATTCAATCTTAATTATATGAAACAAACATCCCCTATTGTACTACTACATCTACTACTACTAATATTACTTGATTAAAGCGTGCACGCGAAATAATCAACATTATATTCAACAAATATTTCTTGAAAATATATTAGAAACATCGAACCGTACATATCCCCCGATATACATAATTGATTATACAGTTTCTCCCGCTTTACATCCCCTTTTATTCTCTTATTTAGTCTCCCTCGTTACGTTATTCCCGGGTATTGGTTGGAAAGCAGCAACGGAGCGAACGTTTGCTACACTAAAGCCGAACACTAAATTCGGTTTATTAACTTCCGGTGTTGCAGCGTAATCTGCAAGCTTCTATTCCGAATTCTCCATTGACTTCCGCTCACCGTCTAGTGCCTCCACTTCGGTTAAATGGACGCCATCCTACAGAGAAACACGGGAGCGGTCGTCGTAGCGGTTAAGCTTGTCGTCGAGAGACGGCGGCAACGAGCCAGTTCATAAAATGCACGTAATATTATGCATCCGCTGTTCCAATTGCCGGAAAATACATTTCTATATTTCCTGAGCCGATTTTTGAAATGAGAATTGTCGATTTGCAACACGCAAGCCGCTTACGCATTTATATTTCGTTTCCCATGTACTTGTGCCAGCTACCATTGTGGCGCTATTTAAGCTTTATTATAATACTTTTTTTTTCCTTTTACAGCTAAATCGACATTTACATATGAATGTAATCGTCGAATGGTACGTGCATGCTAAAGTCAAAGATTGACCTGCTGCGACATCTTGCCGCCTCATCTCAGCTTCTTTCTCTTGTAAGTAATCTGATGATTTTATTATTGATTGAATCGGTTATAAAAATATGAAAAATAGAATCACGTTTGAATAAACGATTCTACAATTTAGCTCTAATACGCGTGTTTTATTTGTTGCGATAGATTCGTACTTGATATTGTTTTCTATAAAATAAAGTAAAGGTATTTAAAGTCCTGATAGTATTTTAGTATGTTAGTTTTGTTCGACACAAAGATTTTTCTATTTATTCTTTTTGCAAGTTAATATTTTTCATATTGCATGTGATATTGTATGTTTAATTATTGATTACAAATAAAAATATGAATTATGGAATCGTACAAATTTGTACCAATTTGACAGATTACGAAAACTCAACATTCGTTAAATGGCATGCAAGTTAAGATTAAATTGTAATAAACAATAATAGAAAAAAAATAGTTATTAAGTTTTAAAAGATAATTATCTGAAAAAATCGTTAGAAAATCACAGAGTCATTTTGATTTAAAGATAGATTTTTGATATCTACGTAATGGATACAAGAAATACAACTGGTGTATTTGAAATTAAGATTACACAATTACACGAATTTCCTAGAATAATATCGAAATGAAGTATGTTGCATAATACACCACGTAGTAAACAAGTTCTCGAAAAATTAATTGCAACAGGAATAGTTGGCGAGCTTCTCAGAGTTTCGAGGGAGCTGACTAATACAGAATTTACTATAGATGTTGTAGTTTGATAAAGTAAGTTTACTACCTAAACTTTGAGAACCACGAAAGAGGCCTTAGGTTTCCACTTCACGGATAGCTACGAAAATAAGTGCGCGGAAGTACCTTTTGCGTGTGGTAGTACATGCTTTATGTACATTTCGTTATTACTATTACAGCGCGTAATAAGACACAATATGCGGCATCATATTTCGAGTTGCATGCGGTAGCGAGAAGTAATATTCGTATAATTGGAAAATAAGAAATGTAATACACAGGATTAAAAAAATAATAGTCGTTATTAAAATGATTATTTCATTAAAAATAAATTTTTCGTGAAATTAGGTCTCCAGTAATAATGTATTAGTTATGTACATCAAAAATTGTTAGAAGCTATTAAAAATGTTTTTTTTTTATAAATTGTGAAGTTCAAAATGAATTTAACACTTTTTTTATTTAATATTACAGAAGTAATGTTATATTCATTACTTTGCTTCTGTAAAAGCACGTGTTTTTTACCGTATTAAAAATACTTTTAGAAGTTGAAGAAAATAATTAAAAAAACAATTTTCTCTTTCTCTCTTTTTCTCTGAGAATATTAAATTTTTTAAATTACTTTCATGTAGACATTAATCATATTCAGATATATTCTTTTTTTTTTTATCATGAAGCGAAATTATTCTTGCAGAAACATAGCAATGATGATATGATAAAAATATATTAATATACTCGGAATTTACTCACGATTAATATATTCGGCTTGAATCCGCGCGAAAATCCCAAAGAGTAGAGCGAGCGCCAACACTCCCGAATGCGCTGGCCCAGTCATCTCGTTTCAGATCCGCTGCGCCTTTGTCGGAGGGCAATCAAAAAGTGTCGTAGTCTCGTCGATGCCGGTGCTTCTTTATACATCATGCAACCACGATCGTATCTTTTCTCGCCTCGATTTCTTTCTCTGTCACTGTGCTCAACCGCCGCCCCCGCCAACGCCCTTGCCGTCGCTTTTCGTGCGTGATGCGTGACGTTGATAAGACCGTGAACTTCGCCTTCAATTCGTGGCCATTGATACACGCGGTATCACCCGCGTGACGTCGATAAAACCCGACGCAACCCTGACGTGACTTTCAAGGCGAAAGTCTATATGAGAGATCGAAAGTCTATGCGAAGAACAGCAAACTGGTCAAAGCTTGAAGGGCCAATAATCGGGTTTGTAGAAGTGCATTAATACACGTGCAAGTTCTTGATTGCATAATATGTGGGTATAATATGTGGTCGAAAGCACAAAAGTGATTTAGTTTCCACCGATTGTTATCGATTGTATCAAGATTTGCCGTCGTAATTTTCTAAACTTCGTTTCGGTTGCATTCATCATGTGCGATATAAAGTTTAATATTGATTTTAAATTACACATAATTAATTAAATTAAATTACAGCATAATTATAATTAATAAAATGTATCAAAGTCTCTCTTTTTTCAAAGAAAGATCTATGTACAGCATAAATTCTCTTTCTAAGAAGTCTCGGAAATTTGAAATAAAATTTGGAATATATTTGTTCACAAAATATTTATATTTATATATTATAAAATAAAAAGAGATTTGAGATATATAAAGAAAGATTTTATGTGTATAATACGTTCAAAAGGATGTTATATATGACATGAGGAGAACTATCTGGCATATTCAATTGTAACACGTGTGCATTGGTTAAATTTAATGTGCTTTCTATAATACATCTATAATTTTGCGTGATGCGCTTGATGATGCTTTTAGGCACGAGATATATGCTGCGCATCGTAGCGTTCGACAGCATCAGAGATCGTGATTGCAATCGTGAACTTGTATATATTGCCATTACGGATGAAATGCACGTACATCGCGGTTCCAGATCTTCGGATGGTCAGGCGCCGGTTACAGCAGCGAATAAACATGGTCATCGTGTGTAATCATAGCTTGCACGTGCATACGTTCTGTACGGCGTCGCCTGTCATCGGCAAACGGCGATCGGATTATGTATCTACGAGTAATCGCTGTGACAGGTGGGCAGGATAATCAAGGAACGGGAACCGTCGTTCACGAGAGAGTTTCTGTTAGTTAGCACAGCAACAGAATAGCGTAATTATACCCAGCGGGAAATTTCGATTTCTAATACTCCTATCTTTGCAGTGATATGCAGCCACGTATACATCGGGAGTTCCATAATACAGTCATATATTGTTGTCACACTTCGTCAAAGAAGTACCGCAAAAATCTATATAATCGTAGATAAAAGATATATTTGAGCTGTGATTCATTCTTCTTGCATATTGTAACGTTACAACTATAGTTGAAAAAAATTGAATTGTGTGTTTGCCCTTTGTATTCGAATTAATGATCGTATTATATGTATACGGTGGAATACGTAGAGATGTTCTAGTTAATAAACTTTTTCTCGCGTAAAAATATACTATTGAAGTAGCTTCTGTAAAATAATAATTTTTATGCAAAAATTTAAATTAAGAGAATGCTGCTTGAATAAAAATTATATAAAAATATAATTGGAATGTTTTTCGCCCATTTTTTATAATTTTAAAAGACATTATTCACGAGTTGTATTTTTTGTTATTGTATATCGTGTATATGAATTTAAAAGTTCAGAAACACGAGTAGAGTAAGATATTGTGTCAAATGGAATTAGGCATGGTTGATACGGTGTATGTGTACGGGGGGAACAAAATCGTCGGTATATTAAAATTTATCTCGTGCCCATCTCTCGCTAGCAGAAACCTTCGGCTTCTTGCTTCGGTCCACCTACTGGACTTCCAAGGGCGAATCCGTGATTTTGCGAAGGCCGATGCGACTCCAGGAGAAACTATTTCCGACCCTTATCTCCCGCGGTACCGGCGATATCCAATGAATGTCAATGAAAAAAAAAAGAAAAAAAAAAGATTGCCCGCACGGTAAAGATCAATTAGGAAAATGTAGAACGCTGCGTACTTGAATAACTGGCGGAATCGATACGTATCTTTTTTTACCTCGCCGTGATATCTTTAAACCTCAGCCTCCTCGGCTCTCCTTCCGGGGCGAAAGGAAAAAGAATTCATCTGTCAGCTGAAGATAACGACGGAATAAAGATGCTTCAAATGCGCGCGGTGAAAAATGTAAAAATGAAGAAAGCACTTTTCTATAAGAACACTCTCCATATTATTAAATTCGAGATAAGCTTTAAAGAATTTGATGATCGTAAATCGTATTTAATAGTTACTTTCAAGTTCAAGATCTTACATTGACGAATGAAAAATGAATATTTCCCCTAAACAGTACACATAATTATCTTATTAATTTTTTTTTTCCTATCTTCGAATTCTCTCCGTTCCATTGCGGAGAGAAAAAATGCAAAGCGAATTAATAATGTAATATCCATTGTGGAGAGAAAAAATGCGAAGCAAATTAATGATGTAATTAGTTCCAACAAATATCAGTATTTAAGCACTTGTGCCAAAATTTTTTTGCTATTTTGTATATATAAATCAGCAAAGAAGTATTTTTTAATATGAAGAGATATATCTCGTGGACATACACGCACCGCAAATGTTTGCTCGTGCAAGTATATGTGTGATCCATAGGCTGCGGGGACATGAAAGTGAGAGTCCGCTGTTACTCTATCCACGTTCCACTAAACTTGACCCACTCTTTGTCCCATGATATGGCATCTATAATAACGCCGCGTGCCTCCGCATCATCTCACCTCCTCCTTCATCGACGCCCACCTACGCGGCGGGCTGTCACATGAGTTACCTGCACTCAGCGCAGATAATGTGACATATTCCTGCAGCTAGGTAACTAGGTCAAGTTCGTTCCGAGATACGTAGACGAGATAATATAGTAGACACACACGGAAGTCTCTTTTCGTCACGGTCACAATCGTGTGTTGGAAAGTTATATAACATTTCCGCTGAGTTTAGATAAAGAGTTAAGATAGAGATATTTATTGCGTTTCTAATAAAAATTTTTTTGTTTGTATGAAATTTATTATTAATTGTTATTATGATATCGAGTTAATATCATGAATGTATGCGCGCATGAATATATATAATTTATCTATAACAGAATATGCAGGATGGTTTTTTATGGTAGATATAAGACATTACCATTTGAGAGATTTATTCTATATTACATTTTATTAATGAATTTACATTATATTATACATTACATTTTATGAATCAGAGAAATAAAGGATCTTATATAAAGTTAAGAAATGTCAAAATAATAATTTTTTAAGAAAATTGTTTTCCAAGATTATTGAAAGTGCAGCTACAAAATACACATGGCTTAATATTCTTATTTTTTTTGTTTGCTAATTTTTAAATTACATCTTTGCAAGCGCAAAGCCAGTTTCGAGGTCATTAGAAGAATTAGAGAATTTGCTTTTTGGCAGTGTGGCATTGCTCACTCACAAACATGACTCAGTGAGGTCACAAACATTAGGTATCACGAAATACTAGAAGTCACTGACACCGCGAGGCCGAGTAGACAAAAGTTTAATTCAGTGCACTTGAGGTAGGCGAACCTTGACGGCCCACACGGTTCCGAAAACGATTACCTCGTATTTGTCCCCGGGTGATGTGTTTGTTCCACTCAAATATAGCATTTGCGCGTAATCGTATTGTTTTTAAACGATAAGCAAACTCAATACGCGAGTTCATTTATTAATTTTTTTTTTGTATTTTTAATATTATTCCATACACTTCAATATTATTTTTACATTGCAACCACATTGCGTATTGCGATTAAACTACCCATCAACGTTTTCCTGTGTCTTATCGAAACAATTTCTAACTTAAAACAATATGACAGAATTTGCACAGTTTTATATATACTAAACTAGAATAAGCGCGTGTTACACGTACACCATTTATTTTGTGTGTATAACTACTTACACACACAGATATATTAACTCTAGTTCTCTGTTTTTTCAAAATAAATTAAATAAAAATTACACACACATTTAATATTTGAACTGTCAAATGCGTCGCTCAGTTATGACAGGCTTTTATTGATATAAAGTAATGCACAGCGCAGCGTCGAAATAACCAATCAGCATCGCGGAAAAGAGATAACAATACTTGCAAGTATTGATTTAACATATCTTTTTAAAAGTGAACTAGAAAAACACAGGCGCGCGCTACGTGCGCGCATTTTTTTACAGACATTTTCCAATTTTTTTAACTTTTCTTTCTATATATATATATATCTAAACTTTTTAATAATCCTTTTATAAAGTTCAGCTTCATTAATTTAAAAAAATTAGATTTATATATATATATACTTTCAAAGTTTAATAACCCTTTTATAAAATTTAGTTTTATTAATTAGGGGATCTAAAAAGCTAAAGGGGGTCTCATAAACTTTTTAGTTCTCCTTCTAACTTTTTAATATATATATTGAAATTTAGTTTAAAATTACCATTTTGCGTGTTATATAAAATATTATAAAATCCGTCATTTAGTTTTTATAAA